AGGAGTTGATTCTTAATATTGCATAATAGTAAGGTTTGTACCTGTGTAATTTATGTCAACGAAATAGTAGGAATAGTTGAAATGGTTGAGGTGGTACACCGATTTCCCGCCATTTTTTTTTTAATATAAATCAGGTTTGCACTAGTTTTTATACTCATATATTAAAGAACTCCTTGCATGATATGCATCTTTACACACATTATTGTATCACTCCTGTATCAGTTTAAATATTAAAGTGTGTACAGACGTACGTATGTACCCGAACTGCGTACGTCAACTGAATCGTTAACTCCGAATGATTTCTCCCTTAGATTTTCAAAATTTTATATAAATTCCGCTTGTGAGTACACATAACCTCGGTTAAAACTCTATAAAAGGTTACTCATTTTCTTTTGAATTTATATGCGTGACTAAACTATATAACATTCGGGATTACTTCATTTTAAATACCTCCGATTAAATTGTAAACGTTGCACCTACGTAGTATATATTTTACTCGAGTGATTTATATTTTATATTGATTTGTATTGATTTATATTGACTTATGTCAATTTGTGTCAATATAAAGGCAAAAGAAATTTTGATCGCCCCATAAATTTTTTTTTATTTTATTTTTTTTTTTATATTAATAAAAAAAAAAAAAATTTAAAAAGTCTGTTGTTTTTTATAAACAAAAGACAAAGAATTAGTGTTAATAAATAAAAAATACCCATTTTTTTCTTTTAACTTTATATCCCACATTTGCTTTATTTATTAGTCTGGAACAGGATTCCATCAAAACTCTCGCAATTAAATCGTGTTGCGATGAGTATATAACTTTTTTGTAAATAAATTTCTTAAATTTCTTAAATTGTAAAACAAAATATCCCGTGTTCCTTTTTTTTTTCTTTCTTAAAGTCCTTCTTAATACAATAAAAATTATTATCATCCAGATCTTTTTAAAAAGTACGCAAATAAGTTTGACAAAAAGTAGGATATGGGAGCTTGTTTATGTAAACCAAAACTAAGACAAAGACAAAAACGTCGAAAACTACATCGCCGTGTACCTGCTTCTTCAATAAGTTCCCCACTATCTGATGCTCATCTTATTATGAGTGATACTTTTGATTGTGGTGTTAACGAAGAATATCGATTTATCGATGGAAGAAGATTTCATAATGTTAGAAATTCAAAATATATGATGCCTTGTGATGATGATGAACTTGATAGGTTACATGTATTGCATTATATTTGTCGATTCATATGGAAATGTAATTATTCTGCACCGATACATGATAAATTGAGTTCTGGTGGTGCTCTTGTATTGGATATTGGGTAGGCTTTTTTTTACTACGTATAATTTATTATTGATCTTTTATCATATTTATCATACGATTTATTATTGATCTTTTTACTATAATGATTTAGATGTGGTACTGGTACCTGGGTCGTGGAAATGGCAAATGAATTCCCTCGTTCTCATTTTACTGGAATAGATATTTCTCCCGTGTTCCCAAGAGAAGCAAAACCTGAAAATGTACTTTTTGTAGAAGCAAATCTACTGGATGGTCTGCCATATAATGACAATACTTTTGATTACGTTCACATGAGGTTTCTAATGACTGCCTTTAGTAAACAAGAATGGGAACGTGCTTTAAAGTATGTATTTTTTTTACTATATTTATAAAATATCCAATTGCAATTTAACTAACTGCAATTTTATTAATAATATTTAGAGAAATTGTCAGAGTGACAAAAATTAATGGAATTATTGAAATAATGGAAGATGAACTAGAACCGAGAAATGATGGCCCTATATCACGGCTATTACATAGCGCATGTAAGTATATGTGCAAATTCATTTATCTTTATTATAATGATCTCTTATATTTAACCTTTTTACGGTCGTCCTAGTTTTGTCGGATCTTCATTCACGTAATATCGATACTACGATATATAACCACATGTTTGATATGTTGATGAATACGCGACAATTGGCAAATATAAAAGCTGAAGAAATGTCAACGTCTTTTGGTAAATGGGCTGATAGAATTGGTACTCTATTAGCTGAAAATACTGGTATTTAATTAATTTAATATTTATCATCCGCCTATTTATTTTATTTATTTATTTTATTTATTTATTTTTTTGATCGATTTTTATAGCCAATATATTTCGTACGTTTCGAACAAAATTTTCTTCATTTCTTGGTCTTGAACCAGATGAATATGATAAATTATTGGAAGCTTGGTATTGTGAGTTAAACGAGTGTAAACCTTATAATGTTGGATATAGATTTTTGGCAACAAAGTACAAGTAATTCATGTTGATTTGTCCCAAAAATTTAATAATTCCATCAAAAAAAAAGAAAAAAAAAACTCTGCCTATTAAGGCCAAATTTCACACCCTTTGTATATACTAGATTTTTTGATATATATATATTATTTATATATTTATATATGTTAATTTTTATTCATTGTATAAAATTACAAAATCCCCTTCAATTTCACAACCCACCACTTTCTACAACTAATCCACTATCTTTTTGTATGTTTAATGGGTTTGGAAAAAAAATCATATCAAAGGTAAAAAAAAAAAAAAGAAAAGAAAAAAAAGGAAAAAAATAATAATAACTTAAATAATTTTCTTATGCAAGAAGTTATGCCGATAAATACGTAAAAAATTTTTTTATCGGACCTTGCATTGCTCCGTTTTTTTTAAAATAATTTTTTTTACGTATTTATTATTATTTTTTTTTATATATAGTATTTTTTCACTCATTTTTGTAAAAATCTTTTATTATATGCCATCAAACATGTTTTCATTCTTTGTAAATTTTTTTTTTTTTGAATCTACTTTGCATAATATAAAGTTTTTTTTTTCTTTATTAGCAATTACCATTCATTACATCTTTTTGGCTTTTTTTTTTCATTCATTCATTAGTTATTTATTTTTTCTATATCAAATAAGTATTCATTGCATCAAATAGCAAAAAAGAAATGAATGTTACATTGTTATTAACACGATAGTGTTTTCATCATAAAAAAAGTAATAAACTTTTACAAGATACTCGTAAACATCGCTTATATTACTGTAGTATATGAAAAGTTAAGATTCATTCCGAACGCCAGGAAAATAGTTTTTCCGTTTCAAATAATATATATACTATATATATATATATATGTATACTACGTAGTAACTTTTCATAGCTAATACCTTACATGTAATAAATTTATTATATATTTTCGTTATCGTATATTAGTTTTTTATAGATTATCGCCCGAATAATGACTAATATTGTTTCCCCATAATATTGTATAAACGGAATCACAGTACTATATAAATTATAATTGTTTTGAGATTACAAAGATTGAATATATATATCGATATAGATGTAGATATATTTTTTTTTTAACAAGGACGTTTATTCGATCCTTACCCGTTGCGTGAATCATTATTCCATGTGTAAAGATTTTCAGTACATCCATCACTTGGTTATGTATATCGATACGTATCGATATTGAATAGCTGTAATTACATAATAAATCTATATCGATATGGTATGTATACTTATACGTACGTACGTACGTACACTTTGTTTAAAAGTAAACCGGTACTAGTATAAGTATAAACCATTTTAAAGAATTAACAACAAAGAAATTTTTATCATTTATTTTTACCCCCTTAAAATATCGATATGTATTCTTTTGCTTACAATATATTTTTTTATAGATCAACGTATCGGTATGACTGACAGACGTCAACAGGGGATCTGTTACAACCCCGTGTAAGTTTATATTTGATCGTAATACAGTCTCAGAACAAAGGAAAAAAAAACTGTTTTCAACTTTTTCTGACTAAATATGAAGTCTACGTACGTACATACGTACTGTATGCTATAAATATATTTGATATAATTAAACGTTAGAAAATTATAATTAGAAATTTTACCGTATAATAATTGCTTAGTCATGTTCTCGTATGTACCAGTGTTTCGGTTGAATTCAAAAGGTTTCGCCCGAGTAAAGTTATTTTCACCACTATATAGCGAAATATTTTAGACCTTAAAAAAGTGCAATTTTACTAAATTTACCCATACTGTATCGGTATATTTTTGTTGTGTGATAACCGAATTTATTTTATTCCGATAAATTTATCTTTAATTGGCAAAATATTTCTGATTTGAAGTTATTTTCGCTTGAAACACAATACATACCATACTGGATAGAATTTTCTACAGTATTAACGTTAAATAACATAATTTATATTAATAAAATTTAAAAAATTTAAATGTTTTAAGTTTTTTAAACATATAAATCATTTAGGGCGTCTAATGTTAGCCTAATAAGTCAAAACCTGAACTTAATCAAATTATTTATAATGTACAAGTTAAACTAATATATATTGCAAGAAGCCTAAAGCTAATATTACATATTTATCTAAAATAAAAAAATTGCAACAAATTAATTCACGGCCGAAGCTAAAACCGGGAATTAGGAACCCCGCTTTAAAAATATAAAACCTACCAAATCCATATAGTAATAATATATATATATATTTTTTTAAAGTCAAGTATAGACAAAAGTTACCCCAAAAAATTTTGAAAATTCTATATGTATTAAAGTATAAAATTTTTAGCTTTAACCGTTTCTAGCTTCAGCCATTTTTAGCTTTAGCCGCGACAATTAATGGTATTAATATTATAGCAAAACAATTCTTTTATAAATTAATTATTTTTAAAACTAGTATTAGTGTAAATTATTAAATAAATTATTAACTAAAATACTATTATCTATATATAGTTATATATGTTTTGGTATTAAAATAAAGCATTGCTTATATCTTTTATTTGTAGTTTTTAAATAATTATTGCAAAAAATATTTTTAAAAAAACAAATTAAAATTACATATATATATATATATATTCTACTTTGGCTATCTCACCAATGAACCTTTATTATATCCATTTGATCAATGAACCAAATGCATATTACGTGATCATAATATTAATGCTTGCCAGCCCGCAGTTACTTCTAAGAGCACTTATAAGTAACTAGCTGCACTGGGCAGACACATCTCAAATAATATATCACAATAAATCTTTAAAAGTAAAGCCTTATTTATTCCAGAAAGCACTGTTTAAATCATCACCCTACAGTCAATCTTTTTATAAGAAAGTAGAAAAACTAAAAAAACACTATTATTAATACTAATATTAAAAAAAGAAAAGGAAAAAAAGATAAAAACTAGTATTAAAAATAAATACAAAGATGAAAAATAAAGAAGAAAAAAAAGAATCTGACAGATCACAATTATAAGCCTGTATTAGGTTTTAAAAAATTATATATTACAAGATAAAAAAGCTCTATATCTAACTCTATTCTAATAATATATATCTATAATAAAAAATCTATAAAGAAAAAAAAAAAAAATTCTTAACTAAACTAAAAAAAATTAAAAGTAATCAAAGATAGTTTCAGAATATTGTTATATAGTTTACAGAAGTTAAAACACATTACTAATATGTTGTTTTAATTATACTATTTCTATATATAGGGTCTCTACTCAGTCTACTCTGATATAACTAATCACAGTTTACTTGTTTATTTTCTGAGTAACCCAAGTTACTCTGAATTACTTTAAATAAACAACACATCATAAATATCTGCTTAGAAAAATAAACAATATTGACTGTTTTGATAAATTTATATATCAATTTTTTGAAGAGAATGAACTAAGATATTCACTTTTTGACTAACTCTTTTTGAAAAAAGTGATAGGTCAATGAAACTTTTCTATGGTTGTTCTTTGTAAGTTTTATGATTATATAAAAATGATTTAAAATTTGTAATATTTCTGTATTGATCTAGTTATTTTATGTTTTTAAAATATTTTTCTGATTTGAATACCAAATATAATAAAAAAGTTCACTAACCAAAGTTTAACCTCTACAAACTAGTCCAAAGTAGTCTACTTCTTAGTTTTACATTTTTGGTACTTTGTTGATAATACACCTACTTTTGTAAAATCAAGTTTTCTTTTTCGATATTAAAGTAACCTCTTGGCTGTTTCTTTTTATTCAGTTATTAGTTAATTTTACTGTATGATAAGCTTTCTCTTTCAGGATAGCCCATACCGTATATATATTTGGAGGATATATACTAGCCACACATACAACTTTTGATTGTCTATTTAAATAGTCTGCTTATTACTAAATTTTACACTAGATATTATATCTATAACCTAACTAGGGGTTATCTATTTAAACTCACTGCACCTATGGAGTTAACCTTTATAACTGAACAAGAACCCAATATGGATACCTTATTTTCGGACACTCAGCTTAGGATTTTAAAGCAGATTTCAACTATTTTAGAGAGCTCTTTATTCTTGAGATAAACCTGCTAAAGCTTTCCATATCTACAATCTGGTTAATCTAGACTTTAGTAACTTACGCTGAGTCCAAGGACAAGTACTTGTGAGCTGAGGCCGTTACCATTACCTACTTCTGCCCTTGTAGAGTTCACCCAAACTTCAGTATATACTTTACAGACTATTACTCTTACTTCCTAAATCCAAAACTACCAATCCAAATAGCCCGAAAGAGACTTTTATCTGTGGGAGTTAGCTCAGACCAGGTTACCGTCCCCTGGTATCAACAGATCTTTTCTTTCAGTTCTCTAGTAGCCTGATTAGTGGGGTATCTTGCTATACACATTGGTTCTATTCAGTTTTTTGTAAAATTAAGTTTATTATTTACTTTAGAATCTTTTATAATATTTTTCTATAGTTTAATTTTTTGTATTTGTTAACTAGAGAATTGTTAGAAAAAGTTATAATTAAAATTATATATAAAAATAAAAGCTTTGACTAATTTATCTACAATTTAAATTTATTAGAATAATTAAAATCTATTTAGATTAGTTAAATTTCTTTAAATTATTCTAGTATATTGTATATTAATATTATTATAAATTTTAATTTTATTATACTATTTATATTATTAAAAAATTAATTACTAAAAGTATTTTTTTCAATAATCTTTTAATCAATAACAACAAAATCAAACTATAGTATAGTAAAAATATATAGAAAAATAACTAAATAAATACTATTTTTGGTTTTACTTCAAGTATATTGTTAACAAAATCTAAATTAAATATAATATACCAAAAAGCAAATATTTTCAAATAGTTTTTCTTAAATTAGCCAGGGCAGCTTCTAAAATACTGGTCACATGATAAACATCACAACTGCAGCTATATGTTTTTAAATTCCAACAATTGTAAATTGCTTATATATTTCAACAATCATATATTA